TGGGAGGGGGGACCGGGATGGGGAATACATGTAAATCCATGGCTAATTCATTTCAATGTATGACAAAAACTACTGCAATGATGTAAAGTAATTAGCCTCCAACTAATAAAAATAAATGGAAAAAAAAAAGAGTTCGACATGACTGGGCGACTTAATTGAACAGAACTGAACCCTCTCCAGGCAGGCCACCTCTCCTGTTGCCACAGCAGGAGGAGAAAACCATCGGGAATACACACAAGGCATTCATGCACAGGGAAGAACAGGTAAATCATCTTGACTCAAGGAACGTCTTGAGAGACAAAGGATGACCCTCATGAAGGATATTCCATAGGAGCCCTCTGCCCAGAGCCTCACACATCACCTGTATGTTCTCTTTGATTCGCTTCTTGTTGTAACTCTTGGCCAGAACCACAACCCCACGTTGTATCTGGTAACGAAGGACCACCAGAGCTGGAGTTTGCTTGTGCTTTTTGGCAATGGCACAAAGAACCGAGTCCTCCAGGAGAACGGGGAGGTTCAAGTTCACCCTGGAAGGAAATTCAGAAATCCAGAGGAGCTGAGACTAAGTATGCAATTTGTGAGTAGTTTTCCCAAACAAATCAAGGAGGTCCACTCTATACCAGTGCTTCTCAAAGTGTACCAGCATCATCAGTATCACCTGGGATCTTGTCAGATATAAAAATTCCATGACTAGCTAAGACAAACTGAATCAGAATTTCAGCTGTGTCACGTCCCATTCTTTGTTTACAAAGCTCTGCAGATTATTTGGATGCATTAATGACCTGAGACCAGGATTGCTAAAGTCGTGAATTTTTTTTTTTTTTTAATTCTCAGGGGTTATTTTGCGTCTATAATCAAGGGCATGGACAGAGAACAGGAGGGGAAAACCACGGATTTTTAAAAATTTCAGTTTCCTAAGGTATTGATAAATATTGAATACTCTCAGAATCAGAGAAATCTATTCCATCATTACTCTCCTTTAGATATATACAAAAATGGTTCAAGTTTAGTTTTTTCTATCATAATAGACCTGAGAATTGCATATTATTATCCCAATTTTAGACACAAGGTAAGTGAGGCTTGGAATTTCTATTTTTAGAAATGTTTTATTAGTTAATATCTATATAAATCATGACATAAGCTTGTGTTTCTGGTTTCAACTGGGGGATTATATATAGATTTTAATGCAGACATCTGTTAATGATGAGTCTACAAGCTAGTACAGTGTAGAAAAATAGCTGGATGATAGGAAGATAGAAGAAAATATTCCATCTGTCCCCTCTCTCCCCTTTGCTTATGAGAGTTATCTGAGTACTCTATTTTAAAATATCTCATTAAAAATTGAATTTTAGGGAAACTCCCAGTTGTCTTCAGTAGAATTCAATACCATTCTTTTATTCGTTGGGATCCTAGAGCACCATAGGCAACAAGGACAATATCATGTGACTTGCAGAAATCCAACAGTTTGCTCTGATTGAGATAAGGGTGACATTCCACCTGTAGAATGTTAACAGAGAAGGGTGTCAGATTATTTGAAAAGGTAATATTAATATGACAGGCAGATTAAAATTTTAAGTGCCTAAAAGAAAGATGGCAACATTAAATATAAAATGGAAATATCAACATCTAGAGAGAAGTAGAGAAAAGTGTATTTATACAGTTAATTTTATGACAGACCGTGGATGGGAGAACCAGTCACATTTGAGTAATAAAAAGGTATACTCTATATTTGAGTAGATATACCCAGGTAAATGTTTTATCTTCTGTTAGCATCACCTCAAGCCTTTAACTTCACCCTCTAACCTGGATGACTTTCATCATCTCCAGCACATTTTTCTGTTCTGTGCTCCTTGTTGAGACTCATAAATGCTGGGACATCAAGACTAAGGAATCAGCCATTGGAACCCCACACAAACCCTTACCACCCATCTCAGCTGATTGGTTACTTTGTTAATTTACTTCCCATTCAATGTTTCCATGGCTTCCTTGGTACACAAAGTTTATTCCAGGGCATTTTCCCATCCAATCTTGTCATCCTTTAATCTCAGGAAAATGACACATCCTACCTCTAGCTCTAGGTTCTACCCACAATTTGGCAGGATGCCCTCCCGACCTTTTCCATCCAGGTACATCAGATAGAGATACCATTTGGGGTTCTATTCACACCATACACACAGCGACTCTACACTCTAGAATCCTCTGTCCCACAAAGGTTAGATGAAGAGGAGGGGAGGACAGACAGATGTCAGGCTCCAGTGCAAGAAGGAGGCTCTAAAGAGCAGGAGGTAGAGGAGTCGAGCTGCTCACTTGGTTGCAGACGGGCTTGTACTTGAGTCCCGGCTTGTTCAGGATCTTCTCCAGCTGCTTGTGATTGAAGTTGGACACCCCAATGGACTTGGTCAGCCCTACATCCTTACACTTCTCCAGGGCCTGGGAGGGAGGGTTGGTGAGCAGTCATTTGAAATGAGTGATAGATCAAGAATAAATATTCAAAAAAATCTGTAAAAAATGTCTCATGTCAAGAATTTACATTGAGTTTAAGCAAGGAAAAGGGAGGAGAAGGTCATGATACAAGATGAGTTACCAACTCCTCCTTAGAAAACTCTGGAGAAGACATATCACAGGGAAGGAAAGAGATACCTGTCTGCACTGTCCCATATTCTCCTCCTGTTCTTCTCTATGAACATTTCAGCAATGGTTTCCTCACGTCAACCTCAGCATCCCAGCCCTTAGATTCATGAACTGAGTCTGATGGCCCACAGCCCATTCTCATAGGTAGAAGAAATGAAGGAGTTTTCCCCTCTCCTGGTTCCTCCTCTGGTTCTCTCTTCCCTGGACTCACCTCCCACGTGTGGCAGAGATCCACTGAGTCACTTATCAGTTTTCCATTTTCATCTTTTGGAAATAATTCCTCCCCTGGCTGGAACAGAGACAGATATATTAGAGATGTGACAAAATAATTTCTCCACATTTAACCAGGCTGCCAGGCACTAAGAATTAAACCTCCATGAGGTAGATTTATAACTTTCTACTTACTAATATTTGCAAAGTGACTTGTGTATGGAGTTTTAAGCAATGTCTTTAGGAGGGAGGTTTATTCTAATCTCTTACACTTATATATGTTGCAATATATATAATTTTTCTATGTCCTAAAAGGGACTTCTGGTGACTTCTGTGATTTTTATTGTTCCCTGTACTTGGCTCTTTTGAAATGTCTCTGATCTGAGAATGGCAGTAAGTTACATGCCATAATTTCCAGAATAAAAATTGTAAACTAGACCTGGGCTAGATAATCAGATTTCCTTTACCCTTCTAGCATTAGATGCCCTAGGACAGGCATGTGAACCAGCAAGGCTCTCATTAGGTTGATGTGGAATGTGAAAGATCCAGACATGCTCTCAAATGTTTATGACCCTGAGCTTTGAAATGCCCCAAGGTCATATTTGCCACCAGTGGAAAATTTTCAGTAAAAATAAAGTAATCCCTTTATAAGGGATAGAAAAAGGAAACATTGCTGAGGAGTCCTGCAAATCCTCAAAACTCTCTGTGTCTGGGACTTGCCACCTACATACTCCACTAAGTTATTTTGCATTAGATGGCTTGAGTTGATTTATATAACTAGAAATCAAGATTTCTAAGTAAACCAATCTTAATGACCAAGTGCAGTCTACATAGCTCATCATAAAGTCGAGGAAGACTGTAGACAATATCCCAACTTCTTATAAAGGTATGAAGTTTAGACACACCCAGAGGGAACAGCACCAAATCTGCTCACCTTGAAAGGGTGAAAGACAAGATAAAATCATCATGTTCAATATGATGCAGTGCCAGGTTCACCACAGCTGCACCAAACTCTTGGTTCATGAAATCCCCAGGGACTCAGGAGTCATAATCAAGACTGTGTGCAGAACTTGGCTATTTCTACTTCCTCAAGTTTTTCTGGCAGAGAGTCTTGGATTATTAACTCCTTTGTCTCGGGGGCATGTAACAGATTCAAAGAAGCTCAGTAAAAAGATGATCACAAATGATTATTTGGGGGATTCTACTCTAGTGTAATCATCCCTTCAAGCTACTAAGAAAAATCTTAATACAACCATCCATGCAAGTTGTCGCACATTCTAACACAAGATTTAAAATTGATATGATCACACATATATCCAACCTTCACAGCCAGTGGAAAATGAATAATATAGAGATCTACATAGTCCAGTTGAAGAGTTTTCAGTGATTTTTCCAAGGCTGGTCTGACCAACTCTGGTCGAAGGAAAGTGCACCAAAGCTGAAAATATAAAAGAATAGAAATTTTATTAAAAATACTTTAGGAAATTTTCTTTTGGTCTTACTGCAAGGCTTGTGGGATATTACTTCCCTGACCCATGATGGAATGGGGGCCCATGATACTAATGTGCCAAGTCTTAAACACTGAACACCAAGGATTTCTAATACCTTAAGAATATACCAAGAAGCATAGTTCACCAATCAACTGTTCACCAAATAAATGATCCTATTATATAATAGTCCCCTGGGCACACTCACTAGCACACATGTTAAACACACAGCATGCAGCACCTTTGAAGTGTAGAATATGTCTTCTCTCTTCACAGTACCATCTGCAATCTTGCTTTGAATGGCCTGGCCAACGTATTCTTCATTTCGGTACAGATGAGCACAGTCAATATGGCGGAACCCAACCTCTATAGCGAATTTGGTGACTTCCAGAGCTTCACTCTTAAGAAACTACATGAGCAATAAGGCAGAATTTGAACATCACATGATTAAGAGATTGCTAGCACAAGCTTTGATCCTCCAAAGAATCAACTTTTCTTCATATATTTGATTAGTTCTCTATGTCTGGTGCTGAACCCATGACAGTTTCCCTGAACATTCCTGGTCAGTTTTTTTAATAGATATACAGTAACCCTTATAGCCCAAATGATCCATGGTGGATCACAGGCATCTGAGGACCCCAAGACAACCTCCAGGTTCAGTGGACCCAAAGGACTCAGCATATGTGGTCATGAATATGATTTATACTATAAGATACTTGAAGAAAAATCAAAAAGGTATATAAGGTATACGATAAAGACATTAAACTACAGGAGATAGTGAGAGACATGGAGCCTGGCCTGTTGCAATTCATAGAATCACAAAGAATCAGACATGACTTAGTGACTGAACAACAACAATAACAAAAAGCATCAAGAAGCAAGGTGAAAACTTCCAAGACCACTGTCTACCAGTGAAGCTACATGGAATAAACCAAATAAAAACTGTATCTATTCAAAGTGTACAAAGTGATGCTCTCATATAAGGATTCATTGCTGATGATCACCAAAATCAAGCTAGTTAGCAGATCCTTCATTTCACTTACCTTATTTTAGGGGTCTGTAAGAAAACTTAAGATCTAGTCTCTACAAAATCTCAGGGTATCACCCATTATTTATAACTATAGTCACGGTGCTGTGCATCAGGTCACCAACTTATTCATCTTATCACTGAAGGTCTAGACTGTTGACAAACATCTTTCCATTTCTCACAGATTTGTCTCCAGCTTCTGGTCTTCATTTCTCTACTCTCTGTTTCTATATGTTTCACTATTTTAGATTCCACCTACAAAGAGACTTCCTTGGTGGCTCAGATGTTAAAGTGTCTCCTACAATGAGGGAGACCCAGGTTTGATCCCTGGGTCAAGAAGATCTCTAGAGAAAGAAATGGCAACCCACTCCAGTGTTCTTGCCTGGAAAATCCCATGAACAGAGGAGCCTGGTAGCCTACAATCCATGGGGTCGCAAAGAGTTAGATACAATTGAGCAACTTCACTTTCACTATTTACAAAGACATCATGTAGCATTTGTCTCTTATTTCTGGCTTACTTCACTTAGCTAAAGTTCTCCCAGTTCACCTGTGTGATTTCAAATGCCAGTATTAACTATGTTTTAAATGCTGAATAATATTCCATTTCTTTTTCATGTGTCAGAATCTTTTCTATTTCAAGGAGGTAGATAATTGGTGTAATCACCCTCTGTTGGGTGCAGTCCTGGTCTTTCTTAAACACTTGAGCATTCAGGGATGTACTAACAATGGACAAGTGAGCTTCAGTACTAGCCTGGACACTTTACTCCCTGCACCCTACTTTGCACTAAAAAGTCCTGTCTTCTCTTTCCAAAATGCCTCTGAATATTTCCTTCTATTCTCCAAATGATAAAAGTGAGATGAAAGTTTCAGAATCAGACCTTGTCACAACTACATTCTCCAGAGACAAGACGGACAGCAAACTTTCTGGCTTCAGGTCTAGAGACTTGTCTGCTAGTCCCTTTTCTGTCCAAGCACTGAAAACTACACTTTAGTAAAAAGACATTAAAACACCCAAGGATACATTACACAACCTGGCCTGTAAGATGGTAGCTTATCCCCTCAAATGACACTATATTTTCCATTAGAAGAAGTTTCCAAGGAGCAACCGAAGTACAAGGCAAAACACAGCTGGAATGTCTTGCCTGACACCTACCAGGCACCCCATAGTAAAAAAGCAATTCTCTCCAATTAGTTCCTATTCACTTCATCCTTAGGACCTTCCCCCTCAAATACTTCTCTGGGTCACATCTTTTTTGAGAGGTAAGAGTTCTGGAACTAATGAAATACACAGAGAAACCTAGCCATTGCAATCGCCCTCAAAGCAAAGCAGTTGACAGTCAGTGATCTTGACAGTCGAGTCTCACTTCTTCTGCCAAGCTGGGAAAGAGATAGAAACTAGAGGGGAACCCAGAGTAATCTGCAGGTGAGTGAACCTCAGACCTTGATGCAGAATGGAGACTGGATGCTCTCTCCCCTTTCACAGGACATCATTCTAGCCTGGTTTGTGGCTAGAGGAGCTAACCAGGATCTCATTGCTTGACAACCCAAGTCCCTTCCACTCATGTTACATCCACTAGTACTTATATCTCAACCCCATACCAGTACTGATACCTCTGGAGGTACAGCAGTGCCAAATCCCAGGACAGGAATGAAGTGGCCATCATTAAGCTTTACTCTCTGGCCTTTGGGATCCATTGCCTATTTCACCTCTGAATAAGCAGACTGATCTTTTCTTCAGCCTTCACAGGTTATAAATAACAGGAAGTTAACACCCCATCTGACTGTCCAATGTAAGCAGATACATTGGAGGAGGAGAGGATTAAAACAGCATACCTATCTAGAGTAAGAAGAAGAATGAAGCCAGATACATTGGTAGTTTGTTTGTTTTTTTTTTTATCAGAATAACTTCACTTATATAATGATGAAACATGCCAAACAATTATTGACCAAATGTTACACAGAAACCTCCACACACCAGTCATTTCACTTTTCTAATTATGAAGCCCACTTTTGATCAAATATCAATTGAAACAAATATTTCACAGAGTACAAGAAGGCATACTAATCACACAATTAAAAAGTATTGATTATTAAGCATTTTCCAAAATGTAATCTCTTAATAGAGAATCATAATATGAAACAAATCAAATTTGCCTTGTTAAATTTTCCAGCAGCAAAATTATTTTGCTTTACACACCTGTGGTGGTAGAGGTTTAGTCAGTAAGTCATGTCCAACTCTTTTACAACCCCACAGACTGTACCCCGCCAGTCTCCACAGTTCATGGAATTACCAGGTTAGAATACTGGAGTCAGTTGCCATTTCCTACACCACAGTAACTTCCTGATACAGGGATAAACCCCAAGTTTCTTGTGTCACTTACATTGGCAGGCGAAGTCTTACCATTGGGCCACCAAAGAAGCACTTACAGACCTGACTAGGGTGAAATTCTGAAAAGGATACCAAAACCAGACATGTTGGCAAAGTGTTTATTGGTGTTAATCATTAACAGTTTGTGGATACCATGTGTAGGTTCAAACAGACGCTTGAGTGTTTAGACCTTGTACTAAGCTATGTAACTTTTTAGAGTACTCTTATAATGTAACCAATACATATTTTACAGTTTGTTATCATGCTAAACATTATGCCTAAAAGAAAAACCTATAAGCAACTGAAATTGCAACAAATTTGGGAAGAGTAAGGGAAATCATGATGCCCTGGTACAAGGGGATGTTGTGAAGAAAAATTCAATTTTGTGTATATAGTGATGTCAGCAAAATAGTGAGCTAGGAGGAGTGAAGTCTCCCTTGGAAAGGGAAGTATGGAAAGAGAAAGCAACTGAAAAATGCCATAGGAGTTCTTTGAAACAGTCAAAAAAACATCTACAGCAACAAAGTGAATGCACAACTAGGGAAGATCCAAAAGACTAGAAGGACTTTCTGTATGTTTTTATTCAGACTCACCTCTCCCCTGACTTGAGCAGAGCCATCTTGATCTGTAAAGGGCGGCAGCTCAGCAGCACCCTGCTCCTTCCCTCAAAGCAAACTCATCGCAGAAGTCCTTATGTGCAATATTCACCCCTAATTGGAGCTTGCCTGGAAACTGTTGTCCATTTCACTTAAGTCTGAGCTTGAACTGAAGAGCAGCTGGAGTGGCTCATTACACCTGCAGTGGGACTAGATATATATGGGGCCAGGGTCAGGTAGTAAAGGTAGAGATACACACAAGACCATGTAAAACCCTGATAGAATTGGGTGTGGATTTGGGGGATAGTAAGGCATCCAACAAAGGTCTGTCTAGTCAAGGCTAAGGTTTTTCCAGTGGTCATGTATGGATGTGAGAGTTTGACTGTGAAGAAAGCTGAGAGCCGAAAAATTGATGTTTTAAAACAGTGATGTTGGAAGACTCTTGAGAGTCCCTTGGTCTGCAAGGAGATCCAACCAGTCCATCCTAAAGGAGATCAGTCCTGGGTGTTCATTGGAAGGACTGACGCTGAAGCTGAGACTCCAATACTTTGGCCACCTCGTGTGAAGAGTTGACTCATTGTAAAAGACCCTGACGCTGGGAGGGATTGGGGGCAGGAGGAGAAGGGGACGACAGAAGATGAGATGGCTGGATGGCATCATCGACTCCATTGACATGAGTTTGAGTAAACTCCGAGAGTTGGTGATGAACAAGGAGGCCTGGCGTGCTGTGATTCATGGGGTCACAAAGAGTCGGATACAACTGAGCGAATGAACTGAACTGAAGGCATTCAAAAGCAATCATAAATACCCTAGAATCAGAAAGCCACTCATGAGCCAAGTAAGTTGTTGACTCAGAAATGACCTAAGTTTCCCTTAGTTTCCTGTTGGGCTGAACCCAGGACCAGGCCATGCCACATGAGCTAGTGAAGGACAATCAGGATGTGGTACAAATCTGTGAATAATGTGTGTGCTGTACTTGTTCAAGTAAACAGTCATGAATGCACAGAAGGAGAGAAAAAGCATACAATAAAGAAAGGTGAAACAACAAAGCTAAAAAAAGAGACAGAAAGGAAAAAAGAGAAAAACATGAGCCATGAAACTGTTTTTGTTACTGTTTAGTCGCTAACTCAAGATACGTTTACTGTGACCCAATGGACCCCACAGGTTTCTTTGTGCATGGTAGTCTCCAGGCAAGAATACCGGAGTGGACTGCCATTTCCTTTTCCAGTGGATCTTCCTAGATCAGGGATGCAACCCGTATCTCCTGCACTGTCAGGCAGATTCTTTACCACTGCCCTACCTGGGAAGCCTGATCCATGAGAGGAAGAAAAAAAATCAGCACCGACTCTTCCTGACCAATCACAGGAGCCACACTTAGTGCACAGTGAGTGTCACACACTGTCCTTGGGAGGAGCTCGAGGTGGGCAAGAGTACACTGAGCTCAGCTCCCCCAGAAGCACATTAGGGGGCCCCATCTCCTGAAAACACATGACACAAGCAGGAAGCCTCCTCCACACCAAGGCTGTAAAGAACCATCCCCATGGAGCTGGATGGGAAGGGAAGAGAAGCCGTCATATAAGGACTGAGCCCACAGGAGGGCCCTAGATGAGGAGGATGGACAGGGGCTCAGAGGTCCTCCCTGGAGAGACCCGTACACACCACACACTGGGCACTGCAGCCCTGGGACGACCCCAGGAGGTTGCAGCCCCACAGCTGCTGTGAACTCAGGTGGACCTGCCAGAGGCCTGGGAACTTGACTCCTTGCCTGAGACACGCACCCACTCCTGCTCCTGGAACAGGCTGAGGAGGCGGCCGGATGTTGTCAAGGAGTCAGCCGGTATACTGAGCAACCCATGTGCCCCCTGCCCCATAGATGCCCCCTCAGTGCCTCTGGATCCAGTTTACATGCCCTAGGGCAAGGGCCACCCATGATGGGCAGAGTGGGCAGTATGAGGTACAGAGCCAGCTCAGACCAGAAGGATGTCTGGACAGGTCAGGGTGGCCATCAGCAATCAGAGAGGGGCCCGAGGAACAGTGGTCTGGAAATATACTTCTCCGTTTCCCTCACAGTAAAGTCCTTTAAAAGCCTATGTGACAAGGACCCCCTGCCCCACTGGCTCTCTGACTTGTCTTCAGCTCCTATCTCCCCACCTCACTAAACTCCACCCACATCAGCCAACTTCCTGGCCCCTAAATGTTCCATGAACACTCTTTCTTCCTGGCAAAAGCCTTTTCTGTTCCAGAGAAATGCAGGAACCACTGTCTCTATCTTCAAGGCTGTTTTGTAGAAATGAAAATTTGTGTGGGATGAAGAGTAGTTGGTGTCTCTGTCTAATAGATGTACAGAAACGTGAGATGTTATGAAGAACTATCTCAACAGACACATACCCATTTCTAACAGCTAAATTCTCCTGATACCATTCACAGTCTCATTCTCCACGAGACTAACGACTCAAGAATTTATTTCACTTATTGACATTTCTTGATGAAACAATGTCTTTCTAAAGAATGTTCAATAAAATTTTGCTGAATGACCAATTAACAAACTCAAAATATGTAAGGATTCATCAAAATGCTAAGCATGGGCAGACAATTAAGAAATTACATAAATGAGTTAAATGTGCAGCTTTATAGGAAGCAAAATACATCACCTGATTTTTTTAAATCATTTTTTTAGCTTACCAAGATACTTATGCTAAGTTTCAAAAAAGTAAACAACCTGTTGATTAAAGTTTAATTGTCTTTGGAAGGAAACAAATGCACATATTTGCCTAGAAAAATCACAAGGTAAATATACAAAAGGTAAGTATTTTAAATGGGTAAACACAACTGATCTTTATTTTCTATCTGTCCCTTCTATTTTCTATAATTTGGAGGTATTATTTTAATGATCAGAGAGTTCTTACTTTTTTATTCTTTCATAAATATTTTATTTTATTTTTTAAAAAAGATAGGCAAGCTTTCAAAAGTTCAGACACTTCATTTAAGTACCTCCACCAAGTACAAAAGTTTTCACCATCCTAGATGCAAGAAATTCTCGAAGAATCTCAGTGAGAGTTGAGAGTCAATATTCTTCAGAGAATGGATACTCAGGGTGACCAACACCACTGAAAGAGAAGGAAGAAGACTCACTTATTAAATCAGTCATGTTGTCATAGAGCATTATTCTATGATGCGGTCAGGATGGGCTAAAACTCTCAGTCTACAAACACATCCCTCTTTCTCCCCTGACAAGCACACATGCAGGTGTCTGCTCCATGTGCACACTGCACCTGCACGTCCAATCCCAACATTCACATGTAATATTCACTTCACAGTGACAGGTAGTTTGACTCAGGTTACAATTTATTTGAGACCACAAGACCTGGCAGTAACTGTAGTGATCATTTCAGACACAGGTGAAACTTCTGCCCCTAGATGATGAAAAGTGCACAGTGAACAAATTAACTTCCCTTTTTCATACATCCATGGATAAGCAAATGAGTGCTCCAAAAATGCAGGGTGCCTGGATCCTGTCATCTCTTGGAGAGCTACCACAAGCTCCTGAATAATCATACAGCTCAAAGTGGGATTATTCCTTTCTTAATTTATAATGTATTAAAACACTTGCTACTCAGCAGTTAATATTACTGTTGTTTTCCTTTTTTTCCCTATGTTTTTACTTTTCTTTCTGAATTTGTCCTTTTCAATTCATTAAAAAGTGCACGAGCAATTCCAAGTGTCAGGAGCTGTGCTGTTGACCCGAGCCCACAAAGATGAGTAAGTCTAGGCATTCACAGCCTAATGAAGAAGAACATAGAATTATACTTAAGAGACTCTAAGTACAGAAAAATAACTTTCCAACTTTTCTTTAATCATGGCTTTTCTCAGAAGCATTATACTGCTTTACAAGCAATAGGGACAGTTTTGAGATCCTTCATTGGACATAAAATCTTCATTTTGCCAATAGTTTGTATTCCCTTCTCTCTAAGCTCCCTTCCAACTTCTCCCTCTTTGATCAGTCATCTGTCTCTTCAGTCTTGACATCCTCCTGCAGTAATTAGGCAGCTGGAATCCCATGCTAGTGACTAAGTTAAAGTACAGGAGGTAGGGACTCCGCAGTGGATGGATCACTGAAGAACAAATACAACACAGGTGTGAGTCTTTACTCAAGAAGGCAGAAGACCCAGATGATCTTACCTGGGTGTGTCTTGCTAAGGACACAGCAGTCACTCACTGGCGGGTCAGTTAAGCTCATGATCTACTGGTAATTCAGCTTTGTGAGATAACAAGGATGAGGATGTGGGAGTTATAACAGGGGGGAAAGGCCAATTAAGAGACCAATTTGAAAGAAATGGGATGATGTTTTGGAGAAAAATGCAAAATCCACCAGACACTTAGGGGACAGGGTGGAAGCAAGACCCTGTGACTTTGTAGCACAGATGCACGTTAGATTTCATGGGACCATCCTTCATAAAAATTATCAACAATACATTTTATAATTTTGTTAGGCATAATATGAATGCCTTCTTCCCAGGTGGCTCAGTGGTTAAGGGTCAACCTACCAAGCAGGAGACTTGGGTTCGATCCCTCAGGTTGCAAGATCTGTTGGAGAAGGAAATGGCAATCCACTCCAGTATTATTGCCTGGGAAATCCCAAGAACAAAGGAGCCTGTTGGGCTATAGAACATGGGATGGTAGAGAGTCATACAGGACTTAGAGATTAAACAAAAACAACAAAACATGAATGTAATGCATGATGGATTCATTATTATATATTTATTATAAATATAATTATTTTTCCCTGATGCAAAAATAATTAAAGATGAAATAAGTTCACAAGTTCCTGAAAGAATACTGGGCTGCAGACACTGTGCCATCTGTTTCCTGAGTCTCTTGGCCCTGAAAGGAAGTACACTAGGCATAGGGATCAGGGGCACAAAGTAGTGAATTCACTATGATGTGATCTCAGGATTTTATTGATGTGCTGTTCTGGGCTCCAATCACATTTCTGTTGGTCAGAGATGAACCCCTAGAGGAAACCTCTGGTGTGAGGTCTGCAGGAAGGCCCTGGTTTACTCCTACGCTGGAAATCAGGACTGTCTTCCAAGAATTAAGCTTTAAAAAGCTTAGTTCCCCTACTGAACTGCCTGCTACAGAAAGTAACATATGTGTGAAACATCTGCAAATCACTTAGGTAGAAATTCACAGTATCTTCTATTTCTGTTGAGGCCATCAATTGCTTTCATGTCCTCTGGACTCAGTTCAAAGTCAAACACCTGGAAAAAAGGAAAGAACCGGGTTAACTCCCCCAAGAACTGGCCTCCCCCTGAGGACTAGAGGACTTTCCCCGTGGAAGGAGATGAGAAAAGGGGACAGAGAAGCCATGTCTGTCCTCAGCTTCCAGGTGAACAAGCCTGGGAGCCTCTGCTGAGTTCTCACCTCTCCTTCCCACACCTTCTCCTTCTCTGTCCATCTCACAAATGTTACAGTGAATCAGTCCCTTATCTTTCTAAGTGAATCACTTGAGACAGAAAACAAACAAATTAAAATCTTCTTTTAACAGTCACAGTTGTTGGACATTTCTAACTCGATACCAAACCTGAGCTAACATTAGTCTGATTAACTCTCCAAACATACCCTAAGAGTAACAGCATTCAGCTGAAGCAGTGTCAGAAGGAGGCTCCTCCATGAAAGCCTATTCAAAAATCTGATATCAAACTTACTCATTACCTATAACTTAATCTAAAAAACTTTTTGTAAATGCCTTTGTGGAGAAAGTTATGAAGTGTTTAAGACATTAGAGAACACCAAAATAATTAAAAATTCATATCATAATTTTGAAATGGAAAGCTCAGTTTTATCAAGAAATTCATTTTCTCCAAAGTGATGTAGTGTTTCAGTGCAACATGAACCAAAGACTTAAGTATGTATTATTTTGTGGAATTCAGTAAAGTGATACTAAGTTTTAAATAAGAAATAGCTAGTCCAGAGCAGTCAAGATGGCCTTAAAGAAGAGGAATATACCATTCTGAAAAACAAGACTTATTTTGTACTTTTGTAACAGAGTACACAAAACTGAAGAGTTAAATATAAGGGAGAGACCAGAAATGTATTTATGAACATTTGATATATGACAAAGTTGGCAGCGAAAATCTATGGAAAATGTGGACACTTAAATTTCCATTTAAATAAAAAAAATATATATATATAGGTCATCATTTTATATCATATTAGAAAATCAGTTCCAGATGTATTTCAGCGCTAAACTTGAATGCAAACACAAAAACAACTTTTCAGGGGGCCATGTAGTTGACTCTTGACTTGGCCTGACTTGCATTGGGCAGCGAAATTTGCCAGAAGAAATTGTGAGTTAGTTCTGAATCTAGAGATGAAGAGGATTTTTTCCTACTCCCTAGCTTGGGATCATAATTAGGAAATTAAAAGACGCTTGCTCCTTGGAAGAAAAGCTATGACAAACCTAGACAGCTTCTTAAAAAGCAGAGACATCACTTTTCTGACACAGGTCCGTCTAGTCAAAGCTATGGTTTTTCCTCTAGTCATGTATGGATGTTATAGTTGGACTATAAAGAAAGCTGAGCACCAAAGAATTGATGCTTTTGAACTGTGGCATTGGAGAAGACTCTTGAGAGTCCCTTGGACTGTAAGGAGATCAAACCAGTCAATCATAAAGGAAATCATTCTTGAATATTCATTTGAAGGACTGATGCTGGAACTGAAACTTCAATACTTTGGCCACCTTTTGTGAAGTACTGACTCATTGGAAAAGACCCTGATGCCAAGAAAGATTGAAGGCAGGAGGAGAAGAGAAGGGGATGACAGAGGATGACATGGTTGGATGGCATCACTGACTCGACGGACATGAATTTGAGTAAACTGCAGGAGTTGGTGATGTATAGGGAAGTCTGGCATGCTGCAGTCCATGGGGTTGCAGAGTCAGACCCAACTGAATTACTGAACTGACTGACTGGCTTGGGATCATAGGACTGTGCTGAGACAGTTGTCACAGTACAGCCAAATATATATGAAAAATATACTAAGAAGTGTGCAGGCTCCTCTGACAAGAGTCACATCCACCTGGTAAACCTCTGAACTGCAAATGCACAAATGCACCAAGCCTAGAGGACAACAGCTTAGCTGAGTTCCAGCTGATTGTCAAACCACAGAATTAAGAGATGCAGAAATGATCTCTGCGTTAAATCCTGAAACTGGGAAGAGGTTCCTGTACAGCTATGCTAAGGGTACAAATAATGGTCTCCTACACAGAAATCAAAACACAGACAGCTTAGCAAAAATAAGCACAGTCTAGACCAGGAACTTTGCAACAGCAGAAACTCAAGGAGATTAAATGTGTGAAGTGAAACCTTATAGGATTCATGGAAATACAAAATAACTTGACAATTACTAGAGCTAATCAATGAATATAGTAAAGTTGCAGGATATAAAATTAACACAGAGAAATCCCTTGCATTCCTATACACTAACAATCAGAAAACAGAAAGAGAAATTAAGGAAACAATTCCATTCACCGTTGCGAAGAAAAGAATAAAATACTTAAAAATAAATATACCTATAGAAACAAAAGACCTATATATAGAAAACTATAAAACACTGATGAAAGAAATCAAAGATAACACAAATAGATGGATAAATGTACCATGCTCATGGATCAGAAGAATAAATGTAGTGAAAATGAGTATACTATCCAAACCAATCTATAGATTCAATGCAATCCCTATCAAGCTACCAACGGTATTTTTCAGAGAACTAGAACAAATAATTTCACAATTTGTATGGAAATACAAAAAACCTTGAATAACCAAAGCAAGAATGGAACTGGAGGAATCAATCTGCCTGACTTCAGGCTATATTTTAGAGCTACAGTCATCAAGACAGTATGGTACTGGCACAAAAACAGAAATATTGATCATGGAGCAAAATAGAAAGCCCAGAGATAAATCCACACACTTATGGACATCTTATCTTTGACAAGGGAGGCAAAAATACACAATGGGGAAAAGACAATCTCTTTAACAAGTGGTACTGGGAAAACTGGTCAACCACTTGTAAAAGAATGAAACTAAAAAAACAAAAACAAAAAAAAAAAAATAGAATGAAACTAGAACACTTTCTAACACCATACACAAAAATAAACTCAAAATGGATTAAAGATCTCAGCATAAAACCAAAAACTATAAAACTCCTAGAGGAAAATATAGCAAAACATTCTCTGACATAAATCACAGCAGGATCCTCTATGACCTCCCAGAGTAATGGAAACAAAAGCAAAAATAAACAAATGGGACCTAATTAAACTTAAAAGCGTTTGCACAACAAAGGAAACTATAAGCAAGGTGAAAAGACAGACTTCAGAATGGGAGAAAATAATAGCAAATGAAGCAACTAACAAATAATTAATCTCAAAAATACACAAGAAACTCCTGCAGCTCAACTCCAAAAAACTAAGTAACCCAATCAGAAAGATGGGCCAAAGAACTAAACAGACATTTCTCCAAAGAAGACATACACATGGCTAACAAACACATGAAAAGATGCTCAACATCACTCATTATCAGAGAAATGCAAAACAAAACCACAATGAAATACCACCTCATGCCCGTCAGAATGACTGCTATCAAAAAGTCTACAAACAATAAATGCTGGAGAGGGTGTGGGGAAAAGGGAACAGTCTTACACTGTTGGTGGGAATGCAAACTAGTACAGCCACCATGGAGAAGAGTCTGACGATTCCTTAAAAAACTTGAAATACAACTGCCATATGACCGGCAATCCCACTGCTGGGCATACACAGCAAGGAAACCAGAATTGAAACAGACATGTGTACCCCAATGTTCATCACAGCACTGTTTAAAATAGCCAGGACATGGAAGCAACCTAGATGTCCATCAGTTGATGAATGGATAAGAAAGCTGTGGTATGTATACACAGTGGAATACTACTCGGCCCTTAAAAAGGATGCATTTGAATCATTTCTAATGAGGTAGATGTAACTCGAGCCTATTATACAGAGTGAAGTAAGTCAGAAAGAAAAACACCAATACAGTATACTAACGCATATATATGGAATTTAGAAAGATGTTAATGATGACTCTACATACAAGACAACAAAAGTGACACAGATGTAAAGAACAGTCTTTTGGACTCTGTAGGACAATGGGAGCATGGGATGATTTGAGAGAATAGCATTGAAACATGTATATTATCATATGTGAAACAGATCACCAGTCCAGGTTTGATGCATGAGACAGGGTGCTCAGGCCTGGTGCACTGGGATGACCCTGAGGGATGGGATGGGGAGGGAGGTGGGAGAGGGGTTCAGGATGGAGCACACATGTATACCCATGGCTGATTCATTTCAATGTATGGCAAAAACCACTACAATATTGTAAAGTAATTAGCCTCCAATTAAAATAAATAAATCAATTTGGTTTTAAAAAGGAGGTTAGAGATCACTGCCATAAATGTGTGCCCCCAAATTCACATTTTGATGGTGTTATAAAAGGAGTTTTTGAAAGATGATTAGGACATAATTGTGGAGCCCTCATGAATGAGATAAACAAGAAGGCGAGGGTGGGATGTTTCAAGAGAACAGCGTTGAAACATGTATATTATCTAGGGTGAAACAGATCACCAGCCCAGGTTGAATACATGAGACAAGTGCTCGGGCCTGGTGCACTGGGAAGACCCAGAGGGATCGGGTGGAGAGGGAGGTGGGAGGGGGGACTGGGATGGGGAATACATGTAAATTCATGGCTAATTCATTTCAATGTATGACAAAAACTACTGTAATGATGTAAAGTAATTAGCCTCCAACTAATAAAAATAAATGGAAAAAAAATCATATAATAGAAGAGACTTGGGACAGCTCTGTTGCCCCCTCCACCATGTTAAGATACAGGGAGAAGCCTGTGATCTGGAGGAGGGCCCTCTCCTGACCACATGGTCACCCTGACCTCAGACCTCCAGCTTCAGAACTGTGAGGAACAAATTTCACTTTTTCCTCAGTCACTGAGTCTGCAGTATTTTGTTAAAACACACAAAACAGTCAAAAAAATCACATAGTGCAATTTCATCAATTGAGAACAAAGACAAAAAGATATCATTTGTATAACGTGACAGAATAAATTGGAGACATAGCACTGGAGCTAAAATCTCTGTTTTCTGTCCAACCATAACCCTCTCCAGCCATGCCAGCTCTCCTGTTGTTACATCAGGTGGAGAAAACCACCAGGAATACACACAAGGCTTTCATGAATGGGAAAGAACAGGTAACTCATCTTGACTCAAGGAAAGTCTTGAGAGATGGACATAGAATGACCCTCGTGAAGGATATTCCCTAGGAGCCCTCTGCCCACAGCCCTGCTCATCATCACCTGCATGTTCTCTTTGACCTGCTTCTTGTTGAAACTCTTGGTCAGAACCACAACCCCACGTCGTATCTGGTAGTGAAGGGCAAACACAGCTGGGGTTTGCTTGTGCTTTTGGGCAATGGCAAAGAGAACTGGGTCCTCCAAGAGAACGGGGTGGTTCAGGTTCACCCTGGAAGGAAATTCAGAAATGCTGAGAAGATGAGACTCATTTGTGAAGAGACTTCCCAAAGAGACCAAGAAGGTCCACTATAGACAGTGCTTCTCAAAGTGTGGTCCATAGACCAAGAACATCAGCATCACTTGGACTCTTCTAAGAAATACAAATTCCATGACTGAGCTGAAGACAAACTGAATCGAAACCTCAACTGTGTAACCTCCCATTATGTGTTCTTAGAGCTCTATGGGTAATTTAGATGTATTATTGAGTTGAGACCAGGACAGCCAAACTCATGGATTGTTCTTTAAAACTGAGAGGTTGTTTTTCTTCTATTATCAAGAGCATGAATAGAGAAACAGATGAAAAAAAAATATCAGGAATCGTTTTACATTTCACTTTTCTAAGGCACTAATTGAGTGATCTCAAAATAAGACACATTTATTTCATCATTATTCTACTATAGATGCTTACAAAAATGGTTCACTGAAATTTTTCCTGTCATGATTGATCTATGAGTTACATATTATTACCCTAATTTTAGAAATAAGGTAAGAGGCTTGGAGCATCTATTTTTAGAAACATGTTCCTTGGTTAATAGATAAGTAAATCATGACATAATGTTGTATCTCTGGTCTCAATATATGTAGATTTTAATGCAGACATTTATTACTGATGAGTTGACAAGCTAAAACAATGTGGACAAACAGGCTGGGTGATGGGAGATAAAAGAGAAGAATTCATTCCATCCCTCCCCACTCTTCCCCCTGCCTATGAGAGCTATCCAAGTACCATATGATTTAAACTATTTCATCAAAAATTGAATTTCAAGGAAACTTCCAGTTGTCTTCAATAGAATTCAGTACCATTCTTTTACTCGTTGGGATCCCAGAGCATCAAAGGCAACAAGAACAATATCATGTGACTTGCAGAAATCCAACAGTCTACTCTGATTGTGATAAAGGTGACGTTCCACCTGTAGAAGGCCCAAAGAGAAGAGTGTCAGATTATATGCAAAGGTAATATTAACAGGACAGAGAAAGATTAAAAGGTTAAAAAAAATAATGAGGGAAAAACTATAACATTAACCAGAAATTTGAAATATCAACAGCAAGAGTGAAATAGAGAAAAGTGTGTTTATATAGTTAATTTTATGTTGGAAATAAATGGGAGAATCTGTCCAAGATTGAATAATCAAAATATGGGCTCTACATCTGAGTAAAAGTTTCAGAGTAAATATTTTAACCACTTTTAGTATTACCAGGAGCCTTTACTTCACCCTCTAACCTGGATGATTTTTATCATCCCCAGCACATTTTTTTTGTACTGTGCTCCCTGTTGAAAGTCCATAAAGGATGAAACAACCAAGACTGAGGATTTAGCCATCAAAACTCCACACAAAAATCTTAAGCCAGTCTTACATGATTTGTCTTTTTTATTTACTTCCAACTCCATCTTATCATGGTTTTCCTTCCTATACATGGTTTGCTACAAGGCACTTTCCAGTCCAATTTCTGGTCATGCCTTCATCTCAGAAAAATGCCTCTGGGTTCTACCCATAATTTACCTGGAAGCTTTCCCCACCTTTTCCACCCAAATTTATCAGACAGGGATACCATTCTGGGTTCTTTTCACACCGTCCAGACAGAGACTCTACACTCTAGAATCTTCTGTCCACAAAGGTCAGATGGACAGGAGGGGAGGACAGACAGACATCAGGCTCCAGTGCAAGAAGGAGGTTCTGAAGAGCAGGAGGGTGAGGAGCCGAGCAGCTCACCTGGTTGCAGACAGACTTGTACTTGAGCCCCGGCTTGTTCAAGATCTTTTCCAGCTGCTTGTGGTTGAAGTTGGACACCCCAATGGATTTGGCCAGCCCTGCATCCTTGCATTTCTCCAGGGCCTGGGAGGGAGAGGTGGTAAACAATTACATGGAGTGATAGGGCAAGAATAAATGCTGAAAACATCAGTAATCACCATCATCCATCAAGAATTAGCATTGATTATCAAGAAGAAAAAAGGGGAAAAAGTCATGACATAAGAAGAATTACTGTCTCCTGCTTAGAAAAACCCTAGAGAAGACATATCACATGGAAGGAAATAGATGCCGGTCTGCACTGTCCCATATTCTTCTCCTTCATTCCACTCTGTGAACATTTCAGCAATGATTTCCTTCCCACAACTTCAACATAACAACCCTTAAATTCATGAACTGCTGACTCTGATGGTCCACAGCGCATTCTCACGGTGGAAGAAATGAAGGAGGTTCCCCCTCACCTGGCTCCTCCCCTGATTCTCTCCTCCCTGGACTCACCTGCACGTAAGACAGAGATCCACTGAGTCAAATATCAGTTTTCCATTTTCATCTTTGGAAAAAAGATGAAATCCTTCCCTGGCTGGAACAGAAGCAGGCATTTTAGAGATGTCACAAAATAATTTCCCAACATTTATCCAGGCTGACAGGCATCAGGAATTAAACATCCATGAGACAGGTTTACAACTTTCTAGATACTAATATCCGCAAAGTGATTTGCTTATGGAGTTGTAAGCAATGTCTTTAGGAGGGAGGCGTAGTCTAATCTCTTATACTTAACATATATTGTAATAAATACACTTTTTCTATGTCCTAAAAGTGACTCAAGGTGATTTCTGTGAACTGTGTCTGTTCCTTGTACTTCTCTATTTTTAAATGTCTCTCTTGAGAAAGAACTGGTAGTAAGTTACATGGGCTTTATTTCCAGCATAAATATTGCAATCACTTCCTTTTCCCTCTGAGGATCAGATGCCCAAGGGCAGACATATGAACCAGCAGGGCTCAAGTTAGGTGGATATGCAATGTGGAAGATCCAGACAAGCTCTCAAATTCGTGACCATGAGCCTTGAACTGCCCTGAAGCCATATTTGCCACCAATGGAAAATGTTCAGTAAACATAAGGCATACCACGAGTAAAGCCATGATAAGGGACAGAAATTAGGAGACATTTCTGGAGAGTACTTCAAATCCTAAAATCTGTCTGTGACTGAGAGTTGCTATCTACATAGTCCACTAAGCGATTTTACATCAGATGACTTGAGTTGATTTCTATAACTTTAAATCAAGAATTCTAAGTAAACTGTTCTTATTGGCTAAGTGCAATCTACAAACATCATCCTGAAGACAGGCAAGAGTGTAGGCAAAGTCTTCCAAGTCCCTATAAAGGTATGAGGTTTAGACGCACACAGAGGGAGCACCACCAAATCTGCTCAACTTAAAAGGATAAAAGACAAGATAAACTCATCATGTTCAATGTAAGACAGTGTCATGCTCACCACAGCTGCACCAAACTCTTGGTTCATGAAATCCCCAGAGACTCAGGAGTCATAACCAGGACTGTGTGCAGAACTGCCGTATTTCTCAAGCTTTTCAGGCAGAAAAACTCAGATTATTTAACACCCTCCCCTGGGAGTCTTGTAAGGGATTCAAAGAAACTCAGTAAAAAGATGATCACAAATGGCTATTTGGGGAATTCTACCTTAGTGTAATCATCCCTTCAATCTACTAAGAAAAATCTTTATTCAACCATCCATGCAAGCTGATGCACACTCTAAAACAAGATATAAAATTTATGTGAAAAAAAAAATAAAATTTATGTGATCACACAAAGTTCTAACCTTCAGAGCCACTGAAATGTGAATAATATAGAGATCAACATAGTCCAGTTGAAGAGTTTTCAGTGATTTTTCCAAGGATGGTTGCACCAACTCTGGTCGAAGGGAAGTAAACCAAAGCTGCAGAGGTTAAAGAATGGAAGTTGTATTAATAACATTTTAGGTAACTTTTTTCCTTACCACTTGGCTTGTGAGATATTACTTCCTTGACCAAAGGTAGATCTTGGCTCATGGCATTAAAGCACCAAGTCTTAATCACTGAACCACCAGGGAACTCTAATGCTTCAGGGATGTATGTAAGAATAGTTCACCAAACAATCCTTCACCGAACAATGATTCTATAATTGTCACCTGGGCAAAATCACTTGCACACATGTGCACACACTCAACACACAGCACCTGTGAGGTGTAGAATATGTCTTCTCTCTTCACAGTGCCATCTGCAATCTTGCTTCGAGTGCCCTGGCCAACTTGCTCTTCATTTTGGTACACACGAGCACAGTTGATATGGTGGAACCCAACCTCTATAGCGAATTTGGTGATTTCCAGAGCTTCCTTCTTAGCAGCCTACATAAGCAACAAGGTAAAAGTTGAATATCTACATGATCAAGTGATTGCTAAGGTGCAAGAAGACCTTCCTAAGAATCAACATTTCTTTGTGCTTTTGGTTCATTCTGCAAGTGTTGTGATGAACTCATGGCAGTTTCTCTGAATGTGATTAAATGGGCACCAAGGAACCCTTCAATCCCAGATGGCCAGTGGTTGATCACAGGCCTCAGAGGACCCCAAGACAGCCTCCAGGTTCAGTGATTTGCTGGAAGACCCAAAGGACTCAGCATTAATTTGTAGTCATGGATAAGATTTATACTGTGAGATGTTTGAAGCAAAATCAACAAAGGTGTAAAATGGCTGGTAAAAGCATCAAGAACCATGTTAAAGCTTCTAAGATTTCTGTTTCCCAGTGAAGTCACACAGAATACACCAAATAAAAAGCATATATATTGAATAAAGTGATGTTTTCATATGAGTATACATTGCTAATGATTACCACAATCAACATAGGCAATAGATCCATCACCTCACACACTTAAATTTAGGTTGTGTTTCTAAGAAAGTTTAAGGTCTAGTCTCTAGAAAACCTCAAGATATAGCCTATTGTCTTTATCCATAGTCACTATACTATGCGTCAGGTGTTCAGACTTATTCATCTTAGGACTGAAAGTCTGTACCTTTGACCAACATCTTTTCATTTTTCTGAGACTTGTCCCCAGTTTCTGGTCACCATACCCTACTCTTTCTTCTATCAGTTCCACTGTTTTAGATTCCAGGTATAAGGAGGTCATATTGTAATTGTCTTTCTGTATATGGCTTATTACACTTAGCTTAATGTTCTCCCAGTTCATCTGTGTGGTTGGAAATGACAAGATTAATTTTGTTTTTAATATTGAATAATATTCCATTTCTTTTTATGTGATTCAGACTCGTTCCTGTTTCAAGGAGGTAGATAGTTGGCATAGCTTCTTTCTGTTAGGGTTAGTCCTGGATTTTCTTAAATGCTTGGGTATTTGTGTATATAACAATGAATGAACCCAGTGAACTTCAGTAACAACCTGGACTCTTCCCTCCTCTAACCCCAATTTGTACTACAAAGTACTGGCTTCTGTTTCCAAAATGTGTCTGATTCTTTCCGTTGGTTTTATAGAAGAAAAATGCGAGGCTCAAAGTTTAAGGACCAGTCCATTATCACAACCACATACTATAAACACAAGATGGATAGGAAATTTTCTGGTTTACAGCAAAGAGACTTGTCCACTAGCTCCTCTTATACCCCAGTGCTGAAAACAATACTTAAATAAAAACATATTACAAAACACAAAGATACATTATAAAACCTGGCCTGTAAGACTGCATCTTATTTCCTCAAATGATAGTATAGTTCCCATCAGAAGAAGTTTCCAAGTAGAAATAGAAGCACAGGGCAAAACAGAGCTGGAGTGTTTCTGCCCTGGCACCTATCAGGCACCCCACAATAGAAAAACAATTTTCTCCCATTATTTTTCAGTCACCTCATCTTCAGGACCTTCCACCTAAAAATGTCTCTGGGTCATATCTTTTTGGAAGGAGGAAAGAGTTCTTGAACTAATAAAATCTACAGAGAAACCCCACCATTGCAATCACCCTTAAAGCAAAGCAGCTGACAGTCAGTGTTCTTGACAGCCGAGCCTCAACTCTTCTGCCAAGCTGGGAAAGAGACAGAAACTGGAGGGGGACCCAGGGAAATCTGCAGGTGAGCAAAGCCTCAGACCCTGATGCGGAGTGGAGACTGGATGCTCTCTCCCCTTTCACAGGGCGTGGTTCTAGCCTGGTTAGTGGAACCACGTGACCCTCCCAGAGTCACACAGGAGCTCAGTGCTTGACAACCCAAGTCCCTTCTGCTGTCACATCCACTACTATTTATATCTCAACCCACAGCCAGTACTGTTACCTCTGGAAGTGCATAAGTTCCAAATCCAAGGACAGGAATGAAGTGGCCATCATTAAGTTTCACCTTCTGGATTTTGGGATCCGTTGTCTGTTGTTCCTCTGAGAAAGCAGATTGATTTTTTATTCTGCCTTCAGAGGTTATAAATAACAAGAAGGTAACACTCTAGCTGCACTGTCCAATGTTTACAGATGCATTGTACAAGTGTGATTAAACTAATGCCCATGGAGTCAGAGAGTTACCTTGTTTGATTTTTTTATCAGTATAATCTAACATATTATATAAAGTGAGATTGGCTGAACAATTAATGACCATTAGTTAGAAATTTCCACACACCAATCTTTTTTTATTTTCTATTATAGGCCCAATCTCAATCAAACATAAACTGAAACAACTATCTTACAGTACAAACAGCACACATACACACATCACAAAATGTAAAAGTGATTCCAGCAGTTTTGAAAAGTTTATCCCTTAATAAAGAATGAAAACTATAAGTGAAATTAAGTTTTCCTTTTTACATTTCCCACCAGCAAAATTATTTTGCTTTACAGACCTGACAGGGGTGAAATCCTGAACAGGATACCTAAACCAGACATTTTGGCAAAGTATTTATTAGAGGTTAATTATTAACAGCTTTAGGATACCATGTGCAGTGTGCAAAGAGACTCTGAGTGTTTCTATGTTGTACTTAGTTATATAACTTTTAGAGTACGCTTGCTTTCCAGGTGGCCCTAGTGGTAAAGAACCTGCCAGCCAATGCAGGAGATGTAAAGTTTCAATCCCTGGGTTCGATCCCTGGGTTGGGAAGATGTCCTGAAGGAGGGCATGACAACCCACTCCAATATTCCTGCCTGGAGAATTCCATGAACTGAGGAGTCTGGCAGGCTATAGTCCATGGGGTTGCAAAGAGTCAGATGGGACTAAAACGGCTTAACACACACCCAGAGTACTCTCATGATGTAACTGATACATACTTTACATAATTAACTAGCTTGTTCAACATTATTCATGAAAGAAAACCCTATAAACTACATTGTGTTAGCTGCTTGGTCATGTCTGACTCTTTGCAACCCGATGGGGTGTAGCCCACCAGGCTCCTCCATCCATGGGATTTTCCAGGTAAGAATTCTGGAATGGTTTGCCATTTCATTCACTAGGGGATCTTCCTGACCGAGGGATCAAACCCCAGTCTCCTGCATAAACTACATAAGTTATAACAAATTTGGAAAGATAAGGGAAAAATGTGATGCACTGATATATGGGGGTGTGGTGAAGTTAAAATTTAACATACATAGTGATGTCAGCAAAATGGTGAGCGAGGAGGACTGAACTCTCCCATGGAAAGGCAAGAAAAGAAAGAGAAAGCAGCTGAAAAACCTCATAAGATCTCTGGAAAACAGTCAAAGATCTACAGCAACAAAGTGAACACACAATTAGGAAAAATTCAGAACAGAATGGTAGGAAATTTCATTGTGTATTACTCACCTGTGCCCTCCTCCTGCCTGTGACAGTGCAGGCTTGATCAGCCCCCAGTTGTCTCCCTCAATCCAGAGTGACCAAAGAAAACCAATTGTGCAATGTTCCAACCAACTTGGGGGCTGCCTGGGGACTTGTGCCTGTTCTACTTAACTCTAAGCTTAAACTGAAGAGCAGCTGGAATGGCTATTGCAGTTGCAGGGGAAATATATATATATACACACAGCCAAGGACAAAGAAATAAAGGTGGAGCCATAGAATAGACCATGTATTGGTAAAACCCTGAGTAGAACTGGAGTGTGGATTTGGGAGCCATCAGGCATTCAAAAACAGTCATAAATTCACCGAACTCAGAAAGGCACCCATGGGCCAGGCAAGATGCTGACTCTGAAATGAACTGAGTCACCCTTAGCTTTCCTGTTGGGGTGAAACAAGGGCAAGGAGAATGCCAGGCAAACTAGTGAAAGCTAGTCAGGACAAGGAACAAGATCTACCAAGAGTGAGTATTTGCCTGCTGTTTCAGGCAGCCAATTATGAACACACAGATATATACACACACACAGGAACACACACACATCTGGATGGGGCAGGGAGGCCAGACAGCCCCGAGAAGCAGGGTCTGGGGCTCTGATGGTGTGCCAGGGCTGCACCACAGGCATGGCCACCCACACCAGGGGTTGCCCCAGCACAACTCCAGCTCTGCCACCATCTGGGGCAAAGGAGCCAGTGTTGGAAGTGGCGGAGGAGCGGGGTGCACACTTACAAGGAGTGGAACCAGTCTGGATCCAACCCTCAGAGTTCTGCTCCAGCATCTTCAGACCCAGTAGGGTTGGCACAGCCATTGAGCACAGAAGCCTTTACTCACACTGGGCTCAGGCTCTAGTCTGCCCCTCCCCCTCCCACCGAGGTGACAGTTGCCAGCACACCCTGGGAAGGGGTGACCCTGCCCTCCCTCCTCAGCTCCAGCTCTGCCCCAAAGCCTCTGGGCACACAGACTGCACAGGAACGCGTCCACACAAGGACAGCCCCACAAAACCAGGACAGGTGACTTTTTCACCTAATTTCATAGACACAGAGGACATTAAGCAAAATGAGAGGAATCCATTTCAAAAGAAACAATGAAAAAAGAAAACCTGAAAAAAATCTGTTAATGAGATAGATATTAATAATTTACCAGAATTAACAGTAATAAGAACATTATTCTAACTAGGGAATAGAACATACCAACATTCACATATAGGGGTTCCAGAAGGAGAAGAGAGAGGAAAGGGGTCAGAAAATGTATCTGATGAAACTATGGCTAAAATTTTCTGAACCTGGGATTCCCTGGTGGTCCAGTGGTGAGGATTCTGTGCTTCCACTGCAGGGGGCACAAGTTCTGAAACTGGTCAGGGAACCACATAACAAAGGTGATTAAAACCATGAGATGGGGGATGTTCCTGGATTACCTGGGTCACCCTGGTGTGATCATAAAGTCCTTATACATGGGACCTGGGAGGGTTGTAGTCAAAGAGAAGGTGGGAAGATAAGAGCATTAGATAAGAGACTCAAACACACTATGCTCTGTCTCTGAGATGGTGGGAGAGTCTACAAGACCAAGAACGGAGTGTTCTCCTGTTGTTCAGTCCCTCAATGGTGTCCAACTTTACCACAGCATGGACTGCAGCACTCCAGACACCTCTATCCTTCATTGTCTCCCGGAGTTTGCTCAAGCTCATGTCCATCAAGTCAGTGATGCCATCTAACCATCTCATCCTCTGTCATCCTCTTCTCCTCCTGATCTTAATCTTTCCCAGCATCAGGGTCTATTCCAATGAGTTGCCTCTTCTGGTCAGCTGATCAAATTTTTGGAGCCTCAGCTTCAGCATTAGTCCTTCCAATGAATATTCAGAGTCGATTTCCTTTAGGACTGACTAGTTTGATCCCCTTGTTGTCCAAGGAACTCTCAAGAGCCTTCTCTGGCACCACAGTTTGAAAACATCAATTCTTCAGCACTCGGCCTTCTTTATGGTACAGCTCTCACATTCATACATGACTACTGGAAAAACCAGAGCTTTGACTATAAGCTTTGACTATACAGAACTTTGTCAGAAAAATGGCATCTCTCCTTTTTAATACGCTGCCTAGGTTTTTCATGGTTTTTCTTCCAAGGAGCATTTAATTTTATGGCTAAGGTCAGTGTCACAGAGATTTTGGAGCCTGAGGAAAAAAAATCAGTCACTGTTTCCATTGTTTCCCCATCTATTTGCCATGAAGTGATGGGGCCTGATGCCATGATCTTAGTTTTTTTAATGTTGAGTTTCAAGTGGACTTTTCCACTCTCCTCTTTCACCTTCATCAAAAGGCTCTTTAGTTCCTCTTCCCTTTCTGCCATAAGGGTGGCATCATCTGCATACATGAGGTTATTGATATTTCTCCCCAAATCTTGTTTCCAGCTTGTCATTTTGCACAATGTACTCTGCATGTAATATAGATAAGCATGGTGAAAATATACAGACTTGATGTGCCTCTTTCCCAGTTTTGAACCACTCCATTGTTCCATATCCAATTCTAACTGTTGCTTCTTGGCCTGCATACAGGTTTCTCAGGAGGCAAGTAAGGTGGTCTGGTATTGCCAGCTCTTTAAGATGTATCCACAATTTGTTGTAATCCATACTGTCAAAGGCATTAGCCTAGGCAATGAAGCAGGAGTAGACGTTTTTCAGGAATACTTTTGCATTTTCTGTGATCTAATGGATGTTGGCAATTTGATCTCTGGTTCCTCTGCCTTTTCCAAATCCAACGTGTATACCTGGAAGTTCTCAGTTCACATTTATTGAAGCTTAACTCAAAGGATTTTGAGTATTACCTTGCTAGAATGTGAGATGAGCACAATTATGTGGTAGTTTGAACATTCTTTGGCATTGCACTTCTTTGGGATTGGAAAGAAAACTGACCTTTTCCACTGCTGAGTTTTCCAAATTAGCTGGCATATTGAGTGAAAAACTTGAACAACATCATCCTTTAGCATTTGAAATAACTTAGTTGGAATTCCTTCACCTCCAATAGCTTTGTTCACAGTAATGCTTCCTATGGCCTACTTGACTTCATACTCCAGGATGTCTGGTTCTAGGTGAGTGAACATACCATCCTGGTTATCCAGGTCATTAAAACCTTTTTTTTGTACAGTTCTTCTCTGTATTCTTGCCACTTTTTCTTAATCTCCTCTGCTTAAATTAGATCCTTACAGATTCTGTCCTTTCTGTGGTCATCTTCACATGAAATGTCCCCGTATTTCTAATTTTCTTGAAGAAATCTCTAGTCTTTCTCATTCTATTGTTTTAATCTATCTCTTTGAATTTTTCACTTATGAAGGTGTTCTTATCTCTCTTTGGTGGTCTTCAGAACTCTGCATTCAGTTGCCTGTATATTTCCCTTTCTCCTTTGCTTTTTACTTCTCTTCTTTTCTCAGGTATTTGTAAGGCCTCCTCAGACAACCATTTTGCCTTCTTGCATTTCTTTTTCTTGGGGATGGTTTCAGTCACTGCCTACTGTACAATGTTATGAACCTCCATCCACAGTTCTTCAGGCACAGTGTATCAGATCTAATCACTTGAATCTAGTTGTCACTTTCACTGAATAA